ACACACACACAATTCCACAAGCAGCCCCCATACACAGCCCAAATTCATAGATATTATACATGATACCACAAACTATTAATGAACACACACAATATAATAGCTCATATATGCACAACTATGATACAAAGCAACTGCAGTATAAATAACACAAGCAGAATACGGCAACATGCACACCTCAATTTAAAGAAATAGGACCGTCACGGGACATCACAATCATATTTTGGCACAGTGCTGCTAAAAGGTTGCCTACCCCTGGCCTAGGCTATAAGAAGATTGCCAAGACCCTGAAACTGAGCTGCAGCATGGTGGACAAGACCATACAGAGGTTTCACAGGACAGGTTCTTTGTTGAGCTAGTTTGCATATGCCTACCCAGAATCCCTTGCAGTAGTGAGAGCACTGTTAACGTGAGACTTCTGTGGGAAAAGCAAGTCTTATTGCTTGACTGGTGTGTGTATTTGTGTTTAGCAATGTATTAACTATCCACTTAATCCAGGTGAAAAGGGTTTTAATCTACACTTTTTCCCCACCACAACTCTGTTGGTATGTACTTTACAAGCCTCCATAGCAAGCCAGTAACCAACCTCATGCTGATGAGTTGTATTAACACTGGCTTTGCTCCTCTTCCTGAGTTGTGTTTCAAAGCTGTTGTGTACAGCAGACACACACTCCAAGGAATCCATGTATAAAGTGCAATTATGAGGCAAAAATGTGGTTCTTTGTTGATCTCTTTTTCATATACCTACCCATAACCCCTTGCAGTAGTGAGAGCACTGTTAAAGTGAGATTTTTGTGGAAAAAGCAAGTCTTATGGCTTGACTGGTGTGTGTGTATTTGGAAAATATTTAGTAATACATTTTTTTTATTTTTATATAAATTATCCAAATACCCATCAAACTAATTTTGAACACTACGGCTGTTTTCAGTGTCACGGGGAGAGATGTTCAGAGAACCAAATTGTTTCTAGTGAAATTATTGGAGCATAATATTGTAATGATTTTTTTATAGATTATTTAAGGTGTAATATATTTTAGCTCTAACATATAAAGGTCTTTGTGTTGTTTTTCGCTTCTTTCAATGTTTAGCGAGCCCCAGTAATCTGCCATTACATTTTATCCTGATTTCTAAAGACATCCATTACTGTTTTTTTGTATTCCTTGAAATTAATGTTCTTGGTTTACGGCAAAGAAATGATTCCTAGAATTCAGTTTTATGCTTACATACAATAGAACCATTTTTCTATAGAATTTCACAGTTTTACCCGGATTAATTTATTGTTTACCATAAGACCGAGATTGTTTACCACTTGGAAAGACAATAAACAGAGTTTAATGGAACACTGTAGCATTATAAATACAAACATGTACTCCTAATGTATAGTAACCCTATAGGGTCCCCTAAATCTAAATAGAACCTGGAATAAAGGCTAATAATATGTTTTTTCCGAGCACCAAGAAGTAGTACCTGCAGCCGTTAAACGTCAAGTCGACACTTCTAAATGCCCAATCCAATACTCCTCATAGAGGGACATTGAGGACAAATGTCCCTCTATGAGGAGCGCTGGGCTCCTCCAATGAAATGGAGATTAGCTGTGAGAACCGAGTTTTGGCTGTTAAGAAGACATCCACTAGAGGCATATTAAACCCTGTGTAAGCATTGTTATATCTACTAAACAGCAATAAACACTACACCCAGACCAGTGTACCAAGACCACTTCATGGAGATAAAGTGGCCTGGGTGCCTTTAGTGGTCTTTTAACCCCCTTAAGGACACATGACATGTGTGACATGTCATGATTCCCTTTTATTCCAGAAGTTTGGTCCTTAAGGGGTTAATCACGCAGAAAGAAACCCTATATTCTTATAGTAAGAAAAATAGGTTTTATGATGTTTTACTGGTTATAATAATAATATCCCATTGATCAGGTAGTGTGATTGGTTACTAAGTATTGATTATATTATCTGCCTTGTAAGCTATTAATAAATGTATGCATTATGAGACATACTACCTTACTACCCCTTACTCTTTGTTGTATAATTGCCGTAAATGAAGACTGTAAGAGCTACTGCGGGGGTAGATAGGACGATATGATGACCAGTCTCCCGTTGCCCTATACACCACATTACACACACTACATTACAGAGTAACCGAACACCCACAGACACTATGGCAGCATCGTACTAATAAAATGTTAAAAAGACACTTTCTTTTCTTAATGATAAAAAGATAATGGATTTAAAATGTATACAAAACATTGCATTAAAGTAATAAGAAACATAGTAAGACATTCATTTTTTAAGTTCTTGTGTTTGTTATGAAAACAAAGGTGGGCATGTTATCTTTTAAAGAAGATTCTCAGTAAACACCGAGGCTAAGGATAACTTAGTGTGGATTAATCTATAAATTGAACCTAATGGGAGTCTTAAGTGCCCTTTAAACAATTGGCCAGTCAGGTAAATGCAGTGTGAGATCAAGGTCAATGAATGGACAAAAATACCACTCAAAAGAATTCTTTGAAAACTCTTAGCCCCATTTAAATCTCATGGCAACCTAAACCATGGTGAATCTGAAAGTACTCAGGGGTGAGTTTGTCAGAAGACATTATAAGCAACTACCTACAAGAGATATGCCCTCTCAATTCCAACACGTCTTTTTTAACCCCTTAAGGACACATGACATGTCTGACATGTCATGATTTCCTTTTATTCCAGATGTTTGGTCCTTAAGGGGTTAAGCAACCCCCTGTGTTCTCATCCTATCAATGTCTTCCAGATTGGACAGAATTGATATTATTAATGCTGAAGTTTGCATTTAATGGGAGAGGAGCTGTCTTTGGGTGCTGGAATACCAACAAGTGGACAAAAAAATGGGGGACAGTATCCGAAGACTCATGTCTGCATACCCATTACATTGAGCTGTAGTGGCTATGGTTCTTTAAAGGAGTACAGCATGTGTTAGGATAAAGCTAAAATAATTTTGTTTTAAGGCACCGTATAATGCACAGAATTTTGCTTACTTTCTGGCACACAGTGGGTTAATACATACAAGGAAATAGATAGTGAATGATGTTTTGATGTTCAATAATGAAGAGCACCAGACCAGCACTATCCTGAAAACAATTAGCAAGTTTTGCAGTATTTTATCTGAGATAATTACAAAGTTAAGGAAGATCAGTCATGGATAAAAGCCTAGGTATTGTAGCAGACTTGCAACAATGTTTCAAAGAAATTGGACAGATCTTGGTAGGAGACTGTAGTGTTGGCTAGCAAAGAGCATTTTAACACCACCTCTGGCGCAGAAAGGGTGAACTCTTAACCCCCCGTATGATATAATCATCATTATGCCAATTCCAGTATAATTAAAGGGCTTGTTTCATCCAAACTTGTGCCCTATTGAAACATCAAGACTAAATGACTGGCTAATGGTATACTGTAGTCGTCAGAACAATTACACTTTGATGTAGTTGTTCTGGTGTCTATAGGCTGTCCCTGCAGCTTTGCTGTATAGCCTGTTCTTGCAAAACATTGCGCTAGCCAATCAGCATCTCCTCATACAGATGCATTGATTCAATGCATCTCTATGGGAATTGTTAAGGACCTCTATGCAGAGTGTGGAGACGTTTAACATCAATGCAATGTAAACGCGGTCAATTCTATGAAAAGGCAATGTATGCATTAAAAAACCTGCAGGGTCTGACTATACTCACCAGAACATCTACATTAAGCTGTAGTTGTTCTGGTGACTGTAGTGTCCCTTTAATTAAGGGAACCAATATTGATAATTATCGAGCTGAGACAGGAAGGGGCAGCTGGTAATGAGGCTGTGTACGGAGTGCCTGTTAAACTATTGGCTTTATTTAGCAATGCTCTTGTACTGTTCTTTCGGCAGCTTTCTGAGAAAAAAGCATGGGATTGTGCCCAAGATTGTGACTGTCCCAAAAAATTAAGGACAGTTGGAATGTATGGATCCCTAAAACCAAATACAGTTCATGTTTCAAAAGGAAGTAAAATGAGCAGACTATGCACACAAATGGTTCTTCTCTGCCGTCAGATTGTTGGGTTCTGTTTCTGATCATTTTATAAATAATTTGAACTCCTTTTTGTTTGGCATGTTAAAGGATTTGTAAAAGACCAATACAAGGACTTCATTAATTCACCACAAATAAAACCTTTATGATCCTGCACAAGCAGACTGAGCCAGGTGGATGTTATGGAGGTTTTACCCTTTGAATCAAATTCTAAATGTAGGTGCTTTAAATTCTCCTGCAATATGTTCCAAGTGGTCTCTGCTGATATCGCCTCTTTCAGCCACACAAGGGCGTCGAGCTGGAAGGATCTCAGGAATAGCAGGAGAGTGATTCTAAAACGATGCCCTCCTTCCTGAGCTGCTATGCTTGGGTTTTCAATGTCTTCCTACTGCAATAAAAACATCTTTATATCTTTCTCAATTGCATCACTTTTTTACCTTTTTGCATAAATATACAGTTAACACGAGAACAATTTAGCTTTAGCAGTAATTGAATTTTTCATGCGTTTTTTTTTTAGATATCTGTAGGTTTATGGAGTATAATCTAGAAGATTTGAACTTTCAGCTCAGTATATAATGTACGACATGTTTTTTTTTTTTTTTATGTCTGTAAACCAGTACAGGATTAGTACACTCACCTGATAAATTGGATGCTGTACACAGGGACACAAGGAAAAAGATGGAACTCAAATTCACAGATTATGTCTAGCACAAGTTCGCAGTCACTTTATTTATAGAGGTTCATATCAGGTTTCTCATAATGTTCTACGCATCGCAGTACAGCTGAGGACACTTTACTTTTCCTTAAGGCCCCAGGTTGGAAATGTTATTAGAATAAAATACCCAAATAGAATCAGGCTATGTGGCAGTATTACATTTAACAGGACATTCCATTTTAATGCATTATGGAAATTATGTAACTGTTGTTGCAACTCTTCACGGTTTGCAACTTCCAACAGTGAGCTCTACCGAGATTTAAAGAACACTCCAAGCACCATAACCACTACAGTGTGTTGTAGTGGTTATGGTGCCTGGAGTGCCCTAAGTTCTCCCCCATGTAAGTAGTCATGCTGTTTGCTACAGTGTGACTACTTACCTGGGGTCTGCAGGGCGCAAGTCACTTCTATCAATGTCTATGAGAAATGGATGCTCTGCTAGAAGCTTTCACTAGCACTCCTGATTCAAGCCGCATAATTCAGGGGCAGCTCATTGGCTGAGAGTGTTAGCTGATCACTCTTAGCCAATGAGTGAAGCCCTGTACCACCAGACTTAGCTCAGGGCTGAGAGTTTACGGCTGTTATTGAGACACCAGGTAAGAAATTAAACTGATAGCAGTTTGACCACTTAAATTGGGAGGAGGAGGGTGTTGCCACATCACTCAGCTGTAGTGGTTATGGCTCCTGGAGTTTTCATTAAGGAAGTAGCTGACACCTGTTTGCCAATCCCACCCAACCCATTATTTACAAATGGTGAACATCTCATTGTTCACCATCAGTTTCACTGTGTCAACAGCAATATATGGAAAGACCACCAATACTGCCCATCTTTGTAAATACCCCAGATTAAAGATATGATGTGCCTGTTTCTTATTTTTGGATACGTACCCAGGAGATAAGAACCACTGGTTGGAGGATGATGATATTCTTTTTTGGACAAACGAGGGTCATCAGGTCCAGTAATTATGCTCTTGGTAATTGCTGATATTTAAAAGGACTTTGAAGCTGTTATTTCCAAGTCAGATTATTGGCTAAAGCTATCACAAGGGTCATTTCTCCAACTACTAGAAGAGGGGAAATAAGAGGCCTCATTAAATCATACAAACGTCCCATGCTCAGGAGGGTCGTTAAAAGTCTACCCTCAATTAACTCCATTACACAGAGTGTCACCCAAAAACACATTTAATCAGATAGTTCTCCCTCTGTGATTAATCTCGTCCTGGCAGCTAGTGTTTTCCTCTAAAACATATTTACCAGAAATCAGTAGAACATATAGAATGTGCAGCATGTAATGCAATAATACAAGAATGATTAGACCTGTGGTCAGGCAAAAAATTGGTTTATCTGAATTTTTTTTTATTTCAGGTGAATCGGGTTTTATCCATGTAACATTTCAGTTCAGACACAATTTGGCCATGCAATCATGTTTGGAAAAATGATTTAGACGAACCAAAATGGCTTGAAAACACTCCTTCTAGTGTAGTGCAAAATATGCACATCATTTAAATAGTAAGTATAGATTTTGCAGTACTCTGATGCACCATTTTATTCACAGGTGAAATGAGAAGTACAAAAGAGGGGGAAAAAATCTATATTTATATATTATATATTATTCCATGTATAATATGTTAATATAGATATATTTTATTTTACCACTCTTCGCTTTTTCCCCTCTATGGAAGTGCTGTTTATTGGGTCTTCAGGGATAAGAGGCACAGCCCTCACTGGGCCTCGTGTATTTGGTGGACCACTGTCATTGATTCAGAGAGAGAGTTAAGTCAGACCCCCAGCCACTAGACATGGTACCCAGGCTGGCAACTCTTACATCTGTGTTTGTAGAGTCTTCAGGGCTTAGAGGCTGAACCCTGGCTGGGCCTGCAGAAATATTGCCTGGTGAGCATAAAGTAAAAATCTAGGCCTGCTTAAGCAGACTCCTTCCAAACTGCCGTGAAGGACAGGAAAAAAGACTGCCTGATGGGAAAGGGATCTATTTATACCAGTTCCAGAGTTCTATTTCCTGTCCTTACTGCTGTGACGGGAGGAGCTAACCCATGAGTAAATGCTGCCATGTATAATGATCAGGAAAATAAAATTTCCTTATTCGTGGCTCTTGGCTAGCCACCATATTTTATTCCATCAATTACCTTTTTGGGCATCACAGACAGAACTCCAAATCATAAAACAAGTAAAATGACTCATCAATTGCTTGCTCTGTTTATTTCGTGATTTGGTCAGATGGCTATAGTATTCGGAATTATAGAATTCAGATAACTTGCCAATGACCCAACATGCGGACGAATTGTAATTGGTTTGAAATCTAATGCTCACGTTTTAAGGACTACTACACACCCCAAAAGCACTTCAGCTTGCTGACGTGCTTCGTGGGTTAAGAACATCCTTGTTTAACCCCAGTTTATAAAAGTGCAGATTTCTATTAGAACTACTCATGATGTATCTGGCAGTGAATATGGCCTCAATTAATTCTAGGAACTTTGTATAATTTGTATGGGTAAGGGGAAGGTAGATTTTACTTACCTGCATCCGCCCCTAGTGGATACCACCATCTTCTTCCATGGGATCCTCTTCAGGAGTAAATCAGTGTTATAGCCCTGCACGTGTGCAAAAAACAGTCTTTGACAGAGCTGCATTAAAATGTTATGTATTTTAAAACCCATATAAGAAAGTTATATATATGTATAAATAGAACAGGAAAATCAGCACTCCCAGGTAATTCACAAATAATTATTTTACTTGAAAACGTGTAGAAAAATGTCAACATTTCAGTTCCACGTGGGAACTTTCATCAGGACAAACACAAGTGTGAAATGAAACAAACTGAACAATTAAATAAGGTAACAAATCTTTTTCTTTTTATATTTATATATATGCACCAAATAAGTTGTGGTGGGGAAAAAGTGTGGATGAAAACCCCTTCCATCTGAAATAAGTGGATAGTTAATGCAATGTTAAACACAAATACACACTCCAAGGAATCCATGTATAAAGTGGAATTATGAGGCAAAAAGGTGGTTCTTTGTTGAGCTTATTTGCATATGCCTACCCAGAATCCCTTGCAGTAGTGAGAGCACTGTTAAATTGAGATTTCTGTGCTAAAAAGCAAGTCTTGTGGCTTGATTGGTGTGTGTCTGCTCAACTCAAATATTGATCGACCCAAATATTTTTCTCCTTCCAAACGTTTACATTAACTATTTATGTGTCCACAATACATTCTGTTTCTCAAATAAAAGTTATCTTATTTTGTTTCATAAAAAAGCTATGAATTGGTTAGGTTGAAAAAAGACTCAACAAGATGATATTATACGCTACAAAATCCATAAAAAGAATAACATTTCTTGGAAATGTCTGTAATCTCCCTAAACCTCATGGCTCTGCGAAGAGGCTTCATAATTCACAACCTGCTTAGGACAGCATCTCACGTGAATTTCAGTGTGGACTTGTGGTATGAAAATGTACAATATCTGTTCACAATCAGAACCAAATTAGAAATGATTAAAGGACCACTATAGTGCCAGAAAAACATACTCATTTTCCTGGCACTATAGTTCCCTGAGGGTGCCCCCACCCTCAGGGACCCCCTCCCGCTCAGCTCTGGAAAGGGGAAAAGGGGTAAAACTTACCTTTTTCCAGCACTGGGCGGGGAGCTCTCTGCCTCCGATCCTCCTCCGTTCCTCCCCGTCGGCTGAATGTGCACGCACGGCAAGAGCTGCGCGCGCATTCAGCCGGTCGCATAGGAAAGCATTATCAATGCTTTCCTATGGACGTTTGCGTGCTCTCAATGTGGAAGGCTTAACCCATTCATAAACATAGCAGTTTCTCTGAAACTGCTATGTTTATAAAAAAAATGGGTTAAGCCTAGCTGGACCTGGCACCCAGACCACTTCATTAAGCTGAAGTGGTCTGGGTGCCTAGATTGGTCCTTTAAGAATTACACCCACTGGTGTTTTCATTACTGCCTTCAGTCTAAGACGGCTCTAGATGCACGATGCGGCACACACCATCGATTCCATGATTAAACGCTCGTCCTCTAATCTGTTGTATCCCAGGGAGATACGACTCCTCAAAAAGAGAGAAAGGAAATGGCAATTATTTATTTCTAATTCTTTCCATAAAGATGTTATCAAAAGTATATTTCAGGCATAATTAACTCAGCTAAACAAGGGGTGTCCCCTGCTCCCATCCTTTACGGCATTGAAATCAGCCATCTTGTTTTCTAGGTAGGTTGGCCAGAATTGTCTTTTTTACAGTTAAATTAATGTTCAGATAATTTCCAGTGGAATCCACAGATATGACTTTCACATACCGTACGTCTCCTCTTATGCGATCTGCTAAAAAAGCAACAGTAGTTTTATGTTAGGAATGTTCGAATGTTGTAGATTGTTTCCATTTATACGTGAAAACTGTTTTAAAGGTTGACAGCAGCCAAGATATTTAAACTGTTAAGTTTGGTTTTGGAATATTTTTAATACAAACTGCAACCGATGTCCTTCCGCACATTATTGGTGCTATATTCTCCGATTTGGACTGGATTATTGGGTATCAGACGGAATGCCCAAGGTGTAAGCAGTCATGATGTAAATTCATGTTAGCACCTGCCGCTGTCTATAAAAACTGCTAATACAAGAACTTCTAACAAGGACTTAAAAACATGGAATATTGCTTTTATATTTACTCAATGATTAAAGTAGCAATGATTTTCACAAAGCTAAATTTACTCACAAAAAGAATAGGAAACAAGCAAAGCCAAATGAGACGATCCCAGCAGGCATCAGGCACGTTAATTTAACCATATTCATAACAACATCACAAATAGGATTCCAAGAGATGGAATGTATATTATTTGCATCAGCAGCTTCGGGCAGGGAATATACATAAACAGAAATGGCTTTATTCAATCCCTCGAGCTGAAGCAAAGTGCTATATTAAGATTGCTTTCAAAACATTGTAAAGCGGGACAACAGTTTTTAAATGATAAATGAAAGTGTTTTGTTTGCTAACTGGAGTTTAGGTAAACAGAGATCCTTACTGAGATCTTAAAGACACGTTGTATTATTGTGATTAAATAATTCTTGAATCACCTTACTAAGAATTCTAATAAACACCACAGGCTCGCTTCCAATCTTGCCGGCAAAGTAGAGACAAGCTGTCGCTATTAACAACAGCCGGTACTATTTAGCAGCTGCCGATATTTACCGACATATCTTCACCCATGTTATTATTTTATACCAGTTTACCACCAGTAACCTCTGCTCCCAAATATTCTGACCAGTGTCAGATTAGCGTTCTCGGGTAAAACACAGAAACACAGTTGTG